AGACTACTCCTTTGTGTAACTTTTACTTTCCTTTGTGTCAAAAATTTCCTGGTAAGGATGTTCATATATAAGTCTCATAAAAGGACTAGAAGGCCAGTGGAATTCACTGGTTCATGGGCTACCTTGAGAAGGTAGTTAAAACAAAAACAGTAGCAACAGAAAAGAACTATTCAGTGTTCAATAAACACTGAAAATGATGTGAAAATGATTTCTCTGTTATTTCTCCACATATGTAATCTGAAGATTTATATTTATTATGTTGTCAGGGAGAATAATATAGTTCTATAATTCTTTTGGAATGGGCATGTAGATCATTCAAGTCATAAAATTCTCAGAATTTAGTAGACTGCCCATCTTGGGTATTTGTTTTGCCTATTCTGGCCATCTCCAGTTTTTTTCTACTGGGGAGACAATTCTCCAGAAGGCTCAACTAACCTCAAACTACAGATATCATTGTAGGTTTTCTGGTTCACTTGCTCTTTCCCCAGAAGACAGAATTAACAAGTAGCTTTTTTATGGTCTACAAGGAGCTCAGCAAAGACCTTATCTTACATGTAGGACAACAATTAACACTGGCTGTTTCCAAAGATGATATTCCCACTAAAAATTTTTATACACAGATTAGAAATAGATGAATATATGCATATGCCTCCATAAATTGGATTACAGAATAAGGTCTTTGGATAATTATTTCAGTAGAATAACTAGAATCCAATATTTAAATATCCACCCTACCACCCATGCCCTGATATAACCTAATTCTGCCATTGCAGGTGTCCCTAAATTACTGCCCTTCCCCCACACACACAGAGAGAAGGGGAATATCATAAAACTTTCCAGCTGTGATCCCAGAATGAGGACTTGTCTGGATTGTTCTTCACCGAACAGTTCCCTTTCCCCCATAAATGACTTCTGATTAATAGTCATAGGGCATAGTGTGAAGGCTGAGCCTACAAGCAAATGTGCTCTGGATATTTTTATGCCTAGAACCCTGGAAGGTTTCAATACATCATGAAAACATATTTTTATCTTTTGCATCTTCCTTTAAATGAGATGAGTAATGCACCCTCTCTTGAATGTGTGTACCTGGTTACGAGAGTTCCAAGGTCTGTTTGGTTCTAATGCTAAAAAATTGAGGTTGATTCTTCAAACTTCATTACCTGGGCCTGTTCCTATAATAAGATTATCACAAAGCTTTCTTTGGAGTGGTGACTTTTCATCTTTATTAATTTGTTTAAAAGTATACAAATGAAGATGGCCTTTCAGTCTTTTGGAAAGTTGTCAATACATCTTGTAAGAAAAACTGGAAAGCCAGTGAAGTTGACTGATTCATGGGATACATGGGGCAGGGAGCTAAAACAAAAACAGTAGAAACAGAAAAGAAATATTCATGAGAGGTCAAAAGTCCCCAAAATTTAGTATAAAATAGAGCTAATGAAAGGGGATTCAGCCAACTGAAACAAGGACGCACTCAAGCTGGAGTACCTGAAGAGGAACTGGACTGACATCCCATTACTTTTCATCATTCTACAGGTTCTCTATGTGATCTTCACACTCTCAAACTCTACAGCCTCATCTGGACCTTGGTGAGAGCCTCAACTTCTCCCTGTGTCCATCTCCTCAAACCGTCATCCACTCTATTTCAGAAAAAAACCTGCCTTGGCTCTGGACCTGATCACTGTGTTTGAGTGAGTGTGCATCTGCTTTACATAAAGCCTAAGGCTTGAGACTTTTGAACTTAGCATGCAGAGGGAATGTCTGTCATTAGCCTGTAATGATTAAGTGTTTTTTGTAGTTCTTAGAATTAATCTAGAATCTTTGCTATGAATTTATTATTCCTATTGCAGTGCCTAGCGATAAGAATTGATGTTTTTTTATTAAGAACCTATAAAGTGAAATTATATTGAGAAATTTGAGTGAGTAAAGCATTGTAAGGGGCAGAAGTGTGTGTACATTCTTTATTTCTCCCTCGACTACATAGTCACAAATTTTCCCCCTCATGACAGTTTGTTATTATTTCTAAAGTATCAAATTAATGGATTTTTATCACTAAAGATTATTTTTGTCTCCAATTTTAAATGTTGACTTTATTTTCAGTATTATATATGTTCTTTGACTGTTATTAGGTTTCAGATGATTGCTGTAAAATACTTCCTAAACTTGTTCATGATGGGTTATTGGAAATATTTGGCTATGTGTTTGCTCTCAAAGCAGAAAAATAAAAATACAGAACTTATGATACCAGAAACACACACAGACATCACACTTGCCAGAATACACTGTCTTGGCTTCCAGGCACCCACTTGAAGGATTTCTAGTGTTTTATAAATAATATAATTAGTTTTTCTCAAATCTCAGTATTAGAATAATTCTCTTTGTTTTTCTGTACATCACTGGAATAACTACATTTTTGTTTCAGTGGGAATCATGTCTGGTAGGGGAAGAAAAGAAAATGTTTTTTCTCTACTGCTGCTTAACAAAGGGGGGCAAAGTTTTTTCAAAGTTTTTTAAAACACAGCTCAAAGGAGCATAAGGCTTACTTGTCTTCTTATTCCTTTTGTTGTTCAAATATCTTATATTTTTTACTAGAGTTGATACACCACAAAAAGGCAGAAAAAAACATGCAGAACACAGAATAATACACAGGAGACCAAGAACCAGAGGAAAAAACCCAGGGAATGGAGTGCAATGTCTTGCTAATCCTCCAGACAGAAGTGTGTATGTGACTCATCAGACACCCCTCTGTCACCACAAAACAAATACCAAAGTGTGACACTTTACTACTGTCACAGACAGGAGTACATTGTGTCTCTCCAGACACCTCTCTGTCCCCCCCAAAAATTCTTTACTAACCAATACTACTGCCATGGAAAAGAGTGTGTATATGCCTGACAAGGCACCTCACTGTCCACAGTAGATTTTTCTTAACCCAATACCAGATGTTATAAGGGCACTACTTACCTATGCAGGTCTTCTGCACTGAATGCTTGCTGTTTTATTGTGGCAATTTACTACAGCATTCAGAGAAACTGAAGGTACATCCCAAGTTTTTTAAAATGGCAAAACTTTCACACCCCTTAGGGTGGCATTCCAGTCCTGGAGTCCCAGAGTGAAGGTCCAGCTTCAGAATTTTGATGGTCTTGGTCTTTCTGGAGCCACAAAATGTTGAACCCCAATACAAAGAATAACCACCAACTCCAATTTTAAATCAAGTTAAAACAAGTTTGTATTTATGTACACAAAGAGAGCTGATTAGTGTCTGTCTCTCCTAAACAAATCTGTGGTGAATGTGCTCCCCATCCCACTATCTTGACAAGGTCACAGTGAAGATAAGTGCTGGCAAATCAGCAGTGGTGGGAAATATAAACCACAAGACCCTTTTTTATGTACTTAGGACTTTTCATTTTCATGCTCATATTCCTGGTAGGAAGCATGAGTATGCTAAACCAAATCAAATTTCAGAGGGCTAGAACATAACAGGTATTTCATACTTTGAAGGATGTTCTACTATTTTTCAGCATATCAAGGACAAATAGAAGGATGCTCTGCTATCTCAGAACATTGAGGACAAAACTCATAATTAACAACAATCATTCTCCAAAAGGTCATGAGAACTTTAGGAACCACATTGACTATATCAACTAAGAACCCAAAACCATATCTTCAGCCTCTTAGAGAGCCTAATTTTTATGCTTATTGCACAAAGCCCACCATTTGTTGTTTTAATTGATTAAGGGAAAGTTCTCTTTTACACTTAGGAGAGTTAGGACAAATAAACATACATTCCTCCCTTTTCTTTAAATCTTCTTTTACTCACATAGGGACTTATGATGAGCATAGTTAATATTGATGGTAAGTGGATTGGTGTTCAGAACTGGCCTTAAAGTGAGAGAGATTATAATAACATAAGAACTAGTGTACCTTGACTAAAACAAAACAAAACAAAACTCTTTAAGAAATCAGCTCAACCAGTTTCATGAGAGTAAATCTAGGAATTAATTAAAGTAGCTTTATAAGACACATTTTTAGAATAATTTTAGAAATATTATTTTATTTAGATTCTTAACTTTAGAATTCTTAAGTTTTTAGCTGTATTCTTAAGATTTTTTAAGAATAGTTTATAGACTTTAGGATATTTTAATTGTAAGATTCAAAGGAACTTCTTTAGATGGGAATCTTAGATTAAAAATAGAGTAGAGGTGTACTTTGAACTTAAAAGTTAATGATAGATTAGCAGACTTTGAGTCTCATTACATAGTTTGGCATGTGTTAATAACAAAATAGTACATCTTTGGAAAATCTGAAAAATGCAAATTAGTGACACATTTTATTAATGATTTTGTACCCATAATAATTGATAAGAAATGTCAAATCCTTCAAAAATGTAAATTGATGTTACATTTTTCTCTATCCCTAATGATTGTTAAGGAAATGTCACATCTTGGCAAAATTTGGAAATTATAAAATCAACAACACATTCTGAATCCATAATGATGAGAAATATTGCAATAAAAGATGACCCAGAGAAAGATACACTAGAGCTTTCTCTCTGGAGATTGCTTCTAAAGAACGACTCTTTGTCTCATTCTTTGCACCAACACCACCCATCTTTCAGAACACCTTGGAACCCACTGGGGCAAGACCCCAGCAGATTGCCACCCCAACTATCCAGAAAAGAGGTTTTATAGCACAAAAAAATTGCAAAGGGGCCTGTCTTGAGAAGTTACAGATAACAAATTTTGACAAGCATAATACAAAGGCAGATAGTAGGTTAATGATCTACATGGTATAATGTTTAAGGTAGGAAGAAAATTCAGATCCCAACATCAGGATTTTGTGGTGCCACTGAGTTTTCAAAGAGGGTTGTTATCTGGTCAGCAGGACACAGGCATGTGTGAGTTCACAGTTCAGGCAGGAATTCCAAACAAGTTTAAAATCAAATTAATTTATAGTAAAACCAAAATTAACTTTTTATGACTTTGTGATGAAAAGACCTCTAACATTAAGATGAAACTAGGCTGGGTTTATCATCACAATTAGAAAATGAGCTTCTATGTTGCCCAAGTCCATGAATGAATAAACAGCTGCCCTGAACTTGTTGAGTTCTTAATCCCTCATTTTGTGCTTACAAATAGTGCAGAAATTGCCCTGTCGTCTCAGCTGGGATTTTCACTTTATATGACTATGTTAAATGTGTTAACATCTTAGATAATTTTTCATGAAGATCAAATCCTGCTGTGCTACAGTTAACTGAAGTTTCATCTTATTTGGCTTCTAAGTTCTGCCTCTTCTTTTCCTAGGACCCCACCAAGGAGCCCCACACAGCATCATGTCTGTATAGATTCCTCTGTGTTTGAGAGTTCCTCTGTCAAGAAGGATCTCTCAAGGTATTTTTTAGATTTTTTCCACTGTGTTTTTCTTGTTCTTCTCATATTTAGACTGGGTCTATAATACTTGTTAAAGCAGGTCACATAGGTGAGAACAGCTCTGACATCTCTTGTTCTCCAATTTAATTTTCTCATTAGTACTGAACTATTCAGCTGGCTGTGAGCATGCTTTCCAGGGTCCTCATTGTGAAATTACTGTTCTTGTGTGTCCACATTGTCTGTGTTCTAGAGGAAGTAATGATGCAGAGCCCACATTTAAGGAAAAGGAAGTGAGCATCACTTACATAATTGCTGTGTCTGCCTCAATTGACTAAAATTTTTCTTCACAAGAGGTTTCTAGTTTCAAAATTCTTACTTTCTGATACTTGATCATTACCTGACTCATATTTGCTATCTCTGTTCTACTAACAGTCATTTTTTCAAAGTAATTTTCTCCTTTTATTAGAGGGAATAATAAAATATTTTATCTGACAGCAGAATGTTCCTATTGCATTTTGACCATCACAACTGAAAATGCAAAGAAATATGTATTTCTGTTCTAATCTACACACACTCTCTTATTATAGCTATATTTATGTGGAATAATATATTTGTACTAAGCTAAATATGAATTTATTCTCATCTGTAGTCAGTGAATTCTGATTCACATGCCATAGATCACTCTTCATTCAACCCCCCTACAAACACACCACTTTATAGGTCTAGATTGACAAAATATCTTCATTTTTATGTGGTGCTGAGAATCAAACATAGTGCCTTACATGTGAGAGGCAAGCTCTCAACCATTAAGCTACAACCCTAGCCCCTTTTCACTCCATTTTATCTGTAACTTCTCACACCATCTAGAAGAACCCTGGGCCCTAGCTTCTGCCATATAATTAATTTATTGTTTCAGTATGAGAAATGAACTAATTATTGCTGCAGATGACAGGTTGTGAAATAACAAAACTATGAGTATATGGTCCCTTCTACCCATTTCTGGTGCATATCTCACCAAATCCTCACATATTCTGAGTGATAGGAGTGGTAAGAGCATGTTTTTTTAACATTTATTTTTTGACCTTTGTTTCTTGCACAGAGCTCGTAAATCCTGCCTTATCTCCTGGATGATCAGAAGGTCTTTTACTCTAATAAGAACTCTTGGTGGGTCTAGAAAATCTTCAGGATAGAGAGTGTCTTTCAGTATCACACCTCCTTTTGGGAAAGAAGGTGGAGACTGGGCTAATAATTCATATTGCTGACATTATTAAATCTCCACAAAAGTCTGTACAAGAACTGGTTCAGGGAGTTAATGAGTTTCTGAACACAATCATACACAAGGGGTCGTGCATCTAACTCAATGAGGACAGAGGTTCTTTCACTAAGGACCCTCCTGGGCTTCATTCTGTGAATTTCCTCATCAGATTGTAGTTTGTCTGTCCTGGAATGTCATAAATGAAGGGCCATACAGCATGTTTTCTCTTTAGCCTGGCTTCTTTTGCTTAGCAGCACACCAGGAAGGATGCATCTGTGTCTCTATGTCAGTTGGTGATACATCTCATTCCATTCTGTGTTGATTTTGAATTCAGCTGTGGAAGGACATTCAGATTTTTAATCTGATCAACATCATAGAATTGCTGTGCATAATTACATGTTTGTTTTAGTTAGTCATGCTTTTTTAGAGCACATGTAAAAATTCATATAATTTATAAGTACACTGTTGGGCCATTGAATAAAATTTATTTACTTGGCTGTTCCAAATCTACTTCCAGCAATGCCAAAGATGTTTATGTCCCACATCATATTATCTGTTGTTTTGTGGTCACTTCTTTGAGTTCAGCATTTCTAATAGCTGTGCTATTGTAGTTACTGCCCCTTCTCCAGAGAAAAACTTAAGTAAGCTTCTTCAGAAATCTTCATTATTATGGATTTTTGAACTATCAGCAAAAGAGTCTCTACATAAGATTTCAGTGTAGGTAAACTTTTTACTTACTGTTGCTCTATTACTTGGCCACTGACCTGGAAAAACTCAGCACTTCAGGTGCCAAACACCCCTTACTAGTTTTTCACAAACCTTTATCCAGTATATTAGTTTTTAAATGTGTGTTTACAAATGCAAAATGTGATTTTAAAAAATTCTTTAACAAGGCCTTTGGCCTTGAGCTGGAGTTTCACAGAGATGTCTACATTTCTAAGTTAATAAAAGTTACCAATTGCACTCAATGGTAGCAGCTGGTAGGGGAAGGAAAGAAAGAGAAGAAGCTCTCCCCTTCTCAGGTTTTTTACTTGAAGTGTTAAAATGCACATACCAGTAAAATAAAAAGCTGCTTTTATGTGAACTTCTTCAGACTGTGAACTCCTGAGCCCTTTCTCTTACATGTTGGGTAAATTGTTATGAAACTAACTAAACTCAGGATTTAGATGATTAATTGATTACTACAAAAGCTGTTTTCTCAGAACATGGCTGCAACCAAAGAAAACTGTTTCCTAGTATCTTTGATGCTTTGCATTATCTGTCCACTACAACCTTATGGTACTTCACTTCTGTCTTAATTTGTGATTCTCTAATGATATCTAAAGCTGAGTACCATTTTGTATAACTATATGCCATCTTTATATTTTCTTTGGTCATGTGTCTCTTCAGATATTCACTCTTTTTATTTTTTCTGATACTGTGTATTGAACCCAGTGGTGATTAAACACTGAGCCAAACAACCAGATTTTTAATTTATTTACTCATTTATTTAATTTTTAAAAACGTTCTCAGTAAAGCTTGCTTTAAATATACAATCCTCCTGCCTTAGCCTCTTAAGCAATTGTGGTCATAGGCATACAATAGCACATTTGGTAAAAAAAATAATAATAATTTTACACATACATACAACAGCACATTTGGTAAAAAATTAACTTTATAAGTACATGTTATAAATTTTTTTCTGTCAATTTGTTTTTGGCATTTTGAGTTAAAGCTTATCACCAAGGGCCGGGGATGTAGCTCAACTTTAGAGAGTTTCCCAGAACCCAAACATTCCCCCTCATCACTAAGATTACATAGAGTTTCTTCTGTTCCCTTCTAGATTTTTAATAGTTCTCTCAAATTTTAATTATTATCTAGTTGGAATTAAATTTTTGAGGTTGAACTCAGGGGAACACAGCCACGGAGCCATATGTCCAGCTCTATTTTGTTTTTTATTTAGAAACAAGGTCTCACTGAGTTGCTTACCACTTCGTTTTTCCTGAGGCTGGATTTGAACTCAGGATCCTCCTGTCTCAACATACTGAGCCACTGGGATTACAAGTGTGAGCCATTGCCCCAGCAAAGATGAGTTAATTTTTGAAGAAGTTTCAGTTTCTATGTACATTCATTTAACTCAGTAGAGTTCTCAAAACTTTTTCAATTCCCCATTTTTTTGAAAAACTCGTAGATTATGGATTTCACTTCATTTTGAATTTCCAAAATCATGGCCTTTAATATTCTAAGATACATGATCGGATTTTCCCCATTTGTCAGGGTCGCCAGGATCGGGGGCACATGCACTGCCTGGTGTACTGTGCCCAGTGGCCACCAGAGGGCGTGCTGTCTGACTGAATCTGAGAAGGGTAAAGGGATATGGTGGTGTTATAATGCTAATGTATTTTCCGTATGCAGCCTCTAATTCTAACAAATTATCCATAGAACTTCAATAAGTGTCCTGTGATATTATTATAGATATCTATATTATACTCTCTAAAACAAATGTAACAGATGTCCTGGGGCCTCTGAAATTAACACAATATCTATGCTTTATCCTCTAAATATAATAGGTGTTCTATGGCCTTTAGTATTAACTAAACATCCATGCTTTAGCATCTAAAGATAATATAATATGTGCCCCATGGCCTTTAATATTAACATATATGCATAATTTAGCATCCAAAACTAATATAATGGTTTTCGTAAGTCTTTTAACATTAATACAATATGAAAACTGGGGCCTGTGAAGCTACAGTAAGAACCGTGGTCTTTCAACACTGATATCATATCTATATTAGAGCATCAAACACTGACGCAACTACCACCCTGTTGTCTTTGCTACCAACGCGCTACCCTCTGTAACATGGAATCTAATACAATAGCTGCCCAGCCTGCATGCCTTAATGTTAATAGAGTCAATATATTGTTCCTCTAAAATTAATAGTTTGGATTAGGAGTCCTCAGCCTGCTGAGGCCACCCCTTCCCTGCGACCTTAGCCCATCAAGTCTCTGCTCCAACCCCTTTCCTTACACGGGGAGTCAAGTGGTGCCAGCAGGAGCAGAGATGGAGACAACGTCCTGACTGAGGCATGAGGGCAGAAAAAAAAAGAGGTCCACACGAGAGCTCCACTAAGGGAGGCCAAGCGCTGGATCAAGCTGCCTGCAGGCTGTGCAAGCTGGACAGTGAAGAGCAGCGGTGACAGAGAGTAGGAAAAGAGCTGGAAGAGGAGCCCAGCTGTCTGCCTGACAGAACTCACTTCAGGAAGTGCACAATTTAAGGACATGAAATTCAGTGCACTTGAGCATACTGGGCTGGGTGATGAGGAACAGCAAGAAAGACTGCTCAGAAACTAGCTGGACTGAGCTCCACAGAGAATGTTCTGGTTGCTCTGCAGAAAGGCTCTCCTAGCCTATGTCAGCCCCTGGTCGCACAGATGACAAAAACAAACAAACAAACAAAACAAACAAACAAACAAAAAAAAAAAACGCTTGACCATTACTGTAGAACTGGCCTTGTACATCCCTATCTGATGAGAAAGGAAGATGAAGATTATGATACATGTGTTATAAAACTAAGGAACAGAAGCCCAAGGCTTCATGATCTGTGATGAGCCTCAAATTAGCCCGAGGCTCCACACAGAGTGAATGGCATGGGATGAACCAAATCTGGCAGAATCTGCTCAGAAGTGTTTTTCTGCTGAACACCAGTGGAGATAATTAATGCATCTGCTGAATCAGGAGACAGATAACTGGTTGAAATACAGTTTTTATTTAAAAAGTAATAATT